CTCGAATCGTCAGTGAAGGAATTTCAGGAGGAGAATGCCAAGCTGAGGGGGGCATGTGAAAAGGACAGGAACAAGATGGAAGCACTTCATGAGAAGCTCAGTTATATGGATGAACTTTCAAAGGAAAAAGGACAGGAACAAGATGGAAGCACTTCATGAGAAGCTCAGTTATATGGATGAACTTTCAAAGGAAAATTCCATTCTTAAGGTATCTCTAGCTGAACTGAATGCTGAATTGGAGAAAGTCAAGGAATCCCAGGAAGAAAAAACTGCTCTTGTTGCAGAGAAATCTTCGTTGCTTTCTGGAGAAAGTCAAGGAATCCCAGGAAGAAAAAACTGCTCTTGTTGCAGAGAAATCTTCGTTGCTTTCGCAGTTGCAGAATGTAACTGAGAATATGTTGAAACTTTTAGAGAAGAACACATTGCTAGAAGACTCCCTATCTGGTGCAAACAAAGAGCTTGAAGGTTTAAGAGCAAAATCAAAGGGCTTAGAAGAATTCTGCCAGTTATTGAAGGATGAGAGGTCAAATCTTCTGAATGAACGAGGGGTGTTGGTGGGTCGACTCGAAAGCATCGAACCAAGACTAGGAAATCTCGAAAAGAGGTTTACAAATCTTGAAGAGAAGTATTCTGATCTTGAAAATGACAAAGACAGGAAATCTCGAAAAGAGGTTTACAAATCTTGAAGAGAAGTATTCTGATCTTGAAAATGACAAAGACTCTGCCTTATATCAAATAGAAGAATTGAGATTTTCCCTTCTCATGGAAGAACAAGAGCATACAACTTACAAACAATTGACCGAGGCGAGACTTGCGATTTTCCCTTCTCATGGAAGAACAAGAGCATACAACTTACAAACAATTGACCGAGGCGAGACTTGCTGGTTTGGAGGATGATGTCCATGCCCTGAGAGAAGAAAGTAGAGTAGGCAAGGAAGAAATCGAAGAACTACTAGATAATGCTGTAAACGCCCAGGTCGAGATCTATATCTTGCAGAGGTTTGTTGAGGATATGGAAAGGAAAAATATTTCTATGCTCATTGAATGTGAACAATATGAAGAGGCATCCAAGTTATCAGATAAACTTATTGCTGATTTGGAAGGCGAAAATCTCGAGCAACAAGTCGAAGTGGAGTTTATGTACAACGAAATCGATAAACTATTTGGAAGGCGAAAATCTCGAGCAACAAGTCGAAGTGGAGTTTATGTACAACGAAATCGATAAACTCAGAGCTGGAATCCGAAAGGTATTAATGGCTCTTCGAATTGATCAAGATTATGTGCAGGGAAATATGAAAGACGAGAAAATCCTGATAGTGGATATCTTGACCAGAATTGAGGACTTGAAAGCTTCTGTGTTCAAAAATAAGGACAAGAAGCAGCAACTGCTAGTTCAGAACTCAGTTTTATTAACTCTTCTCAAGCAACTGAGTTTAGAGAGTGAAGAACTTCTATTAGAGAAAGATAACATTATGCAGGAGTTAAAGATCATGAAGGGGCAGCTAGCAATGCATGAAAACGACAAGCACGAGCTTCTGAAGTCGAAAAACGAGTTGATGATGCAAGTTAGCCAGTGGGAGCAACATGAGCTAGCACGAGCTTCTGAAGTCGAAAAACGAGTTGATGATGCAAGTTAGCCAGTGGGAGCAACATGAGCTACTGCTGAAGGCCGAGATCGAAACTCTAAATGAGAAGCTAGTAAATCTTCAAGGGACCTGCCTTATGCTGGAAAAAGAAAATCATAATGTTGCTGAAGAAAAGAAATCTTTGCTCAAGAAATTTTTAGACCTTGAAGAAGGCAAGAACATTATTCAACAAGAACAGCACGATTTAATCGTCCGGGAAGTGATTGCGTTCAATATCCTATCATCGGTTTTTGAAAGCTTCAAAACCGAGAAATTCATGGAAACGGAAAAGCTCGTTCAATATCCTATCATCGGTTTTTGAAAGCTTCAAAACCGAGAAATTCATGGAAACGGAAAAGCTCGTTCAAGACATATGTCGTCTCCAAGTGGTGAATTCTGATACAAAGGAAGAAGTTGGAAAGTTAGCAGAGAAATTTCAGGTGAAGGAAGTGGAAAATTTGCATTTAAATGGTTCAGTAGAGAAATTGGCTAAGGAGCTACATGAAGCAAAGGACATGAACGATCAACTTAGCTATCAAATTTTACTTGGAAATGATTTTCTGAGGGTGACAGCCCAAGAGCTTTCTGAAACAGAAGAGAAGCTTAAAAATTCACATCTTGAACTGTCTGAAAAGTGCTCACCAAGAGCTTTCTGAAACAGAAGAGAAGCTTAAAAATTCACATCTTGAACTGTCTGAAAAGTGCTCAAACCAGGAGAATGAGATTCAAAGCCTTTGTGAACTGAACGGAAACTTAAAATACGAAGTCGATTTATTGCACGACGAGATCGAGAAATGCAAAGTTAAAGAGGAATGTCTGAATTCAGAACTACAGGAATTTATTGCACGACGAGATCGAGAAATGCAAAGTTAAAGAGGAATGTCTGAATTCAGAACTACAGGAGAGAAGAGATGAATTCGAGCTCTGGGAAGCGGAGGCCACGACGTTTTACTTCGATCTTCAAATCTCATTGATCCGGGAGGTCTTATACGAACATACCGGAGGCCACGACGTTTTACTTCGATCTTCAAATCTCATTGATCCGGGAGGTCTTATACGAACATACAGTTCATGAACTTGCACAGGCTTGTGAAACTGCTGGGGATGAGAATGCTGCAAAAACTACAGAGATTGAACAACTCAGAGAAAGAGTAGGTTCCCTGGAAACTGAAATTGGAGAGATGGAAGCACAGAGAGATTGAACAACTCAGAGAAAGAGTAGGTTCCCTGGAAACTGAAATTGGAGAGATGGAAGCACAGATGTCTGCTTATAAGCCTGCCATAGCTTCTCTGAGACATGATGTAGAATCACTCAAGCATATTGTTCTTCCTCAAACTAGGGATATCTGTAAGGGTTTTGTAGGAGAAGAGGTAAAGCTTTTTTCTTATTAAATATATGCTAAAACACCTGCAGCAGTACTTTAATGCACAAATTTACTACGATTTAGCTCAAAATAGCCAAAATGCTAAAACACCTGCAGCAGTACTTTAATGCACAAATTTACTACGATTTAGCTCAAAATAGCCAAAGTTTGTGCTTGGTATCATTGAACTTCTTCAGTTCCTTTGTTATTGGATGAGCTGAGCGTGAAGGATAATGTTGCTGAATTCTAATAATGATTTATGTTCATATGTTGCCAGGAGGAGGAAACCAAGATAGGATAATGTTGCTGAATTCTAATAATGATTTATGTTCATATGTTGCCAGGAGGAGGAAACCAAGATTCATGTTCATCACAGTAGCTGTTATGTCCACAAAGATGAGATATTGGATTTGCAGAAGATTAGGGCCGTGATAAAGGCAGTCGAGATTGCTGTGATCGAAGAAAAGGAAAAACTGAACAAAGAAGCTGCTGAAAAACGTGTCGAAAACTCGAAATCGGAAGGAAACTCGGTTCAAAAAGCAACGACTAAGGAAGGGAAGGGTTTGAGGGATGGAATTAGTGATAAAGTAAAGGCAAGAAAGAACAAACCTGAGAATGGAATATTGATGAAAGATATTCCATTGGATCATGTATCAGATAGTTCATTCCAGAGAAGAAGCAAAAGGGAATGTAGTGAGACCAGTGATCAAATGCTGAAGTTGTGGGAAACTGATGAACAAGAATGCGAGCAGAGTTTGATTGATAGCGTGCCACAAAGCCCGTCGGATGCGCAAATCGAGTGCCCACAGTCAGAAATTGTAGAACATAAAAGTCCAGATTGTTCTTCAGAGCTGCAAGTAGAGAAGGAGTTGAGCGTTGATAGATTGGAGCTATCGCCTAGCATTAGAGAACGAATTCGACGAGGTCGAAAAGGAAAGGTTTTGGAGAGACTTGATTCAGATGTTGTTCAGTTGACAGGTCTTCTAACAAGCGTTCAGGATTTGAAAAAGAGAATGGAAGTGAACACAGTGGAAATGGCTAGAAACAATGAATACGACACGGTCGAGAAACATTTAAAAGAAGTCGAGGAAGCGATCTTCCAGCAAGTAAATATAAATGGTCAACTGAAGCAGAGTTTGGAACGCAGTCCATCGTGTTTCGAGCGAAGGTCATCAGTAGAAAGCGAGGCAACTGGAAACATGCCCCTAAACAAACTAACAGATCAGGCACAAAGAGGATCAGAGAAGATAGGAAAACTACAGTTTGAAGTACAGAACATTCAGCGTGTTATTATGAAGCTCGAATCCGAGAAAACGAGAAATGGGAAGAACAGATTCTCGAAGAGTAAACCAGGTGTTATTCTGAGAGATTTCATCTACAGAAGCAGAAAACGCAGCAGCGAAAGACGGAAGAAGGCATGTGCTTGTGGATGTACAAAACCTTCTACTCATGGAGACTGAGTGTTGTAATGCTGAAGAACAGCATAATGTTATAGAGGCAGCAGAGCTAGATATTATCCCCTTGTAAGTTGTATGTACAATTGTAGTTTGGTGCTCGGTAGATCATCTCTGGATCTTTTTTTTTTTTTTTTTGAAAAAAATGCTCCCCTTTTGATCTTATGATGAACTATAATATAGACAGATTGATGTAGTGATATAACCTCCTTTCTAAAACTTATAAAATCTTGAGCTACCTTCATTGATTGATTGATTTTGCAGAATAGGGCCCTACATTGAGATGCATACATAATTGCCAAAATCTTGGCTTTGTGATGCTCAAGTAAACAAATGACCTGACTTCACCTTAGTTTAACGGGATCCGTTCTACAATTACTCAGCGATCAATGTATTGTGTAGCACAAGATTACGGAGAAGTCTTTTCCATACCTATCTCTGCCCTTATGAAAAGTCTTTTCCATCCCCATCTCTGCCCTTTTTCATTTTCCATACCCACGAAATTCTTCATTGAAGATCTAAAAACATTTAAGAGTGAAAAAAACGGTGCAATTTGCTAAAATTGATTCAATGAAAGTATTCTTAACTAAGGATTTGGTAGCACAAAATTGCGATCCTCAAAACCAACTCTCTGACTAGATCGAGAAGCGGGTTAAAACTAAGTTTGTGACAAAGCGGGGCAAAACTAAACAAAAACAGATCAAATGAAATTCAACATAACTGAACTTAAGCTCCAACAATTTCGGTAGGCCCCTCGTCTGCAGCTTCATCAGCAGGTCTCTCAACCTTCACGCCAACGTCTTCTGAGTAGTCTCCATGAACCTACGAACACAGATCACGGCAATGATAAGACTCTGAAATACTATTATAATTTCATAGGCTACGGATCCTACGAACACAGATCACGGCAATGATAAGACTCTGAAATACTATTATAATTTCATAGGCTACGGATTAAGCCATGTATATACCTCCATCAACTTTCCAAGATCGAATTTGGGTGCTTTCAAAATTTTTACTTTCCGGATAAACACATTTTGAAGAGGGTAGATGCTGGATGTTGCCTTTTCAATCTCCTTGCCGATGGACTCTGGAATGAACTTGCGAACCAATTCCTTCAAATCGCAAGAGGTTGCTTGGTTTACCATGATCTCTCTCATCTTACGACGGATCTGACATGCAAAAAGGATGTCAGCATCAATTCAGAGAAAACTTATTGACAAATGAATTACCATAAGCAAAAGACAAGTAACAAGTTTTACGATAAAAATACTTCACTCCAGTCCTGAACTAACCTGCCTGATCTGACTGGATTGGGCGTAGCATGTCCTTTTCACTTGGTTTGGCCTTCTCTTAGTGAACCCAATGCAAAACATTCTAAGAGTGTAGTTGTCGGTGGTTTTGACATCGACATGAGCTTCAATCAAAGTATGCCACTTGCGTACTAAAGACCTTAACTTGTCGGTAGTAAAATTCATTCCCTGAACATTTTCACAAGAAAGAAATAAGATAAAAACGCAATCAACAAAATACTATGTGAAAACAACCAAGTGGGATGTCCCATCTCACCCAGAAATTTGTCAGGACATTCCTCCCTTGAACATCTTCTGCTCTCAGTCGAATCTTCCTGTAAGCGTGCTCCTCATCATCCTGAAGATCAGCCAACGAGACCTCGAAGACTCTGTGTTTGAGACCTTCAGAAGCAATCTATTGGGCGCAGCCAAGGAAATTTAATATTTACATTATTTGCAAAATTAATTATTGATACAGCCATTTGATAAATAGAAGAAAGTGTTTCAATACCATATTCTATTACTTTTTTATATTAATTATTATGTTCTATAATTGATATTTTCCAATATTCAATATTTATTTGAAACTAAATTAGATTTTATTTTCATATGAATTAGGAATAGCTAAGATCTCAGTAATTAAGTAAACTACTACTCATGTGACATTTTTGTTATGTGATCACGCTTAACCCAAAGATTAAAGCATCGCTTTTGTAATGCAACGGTCATTGGTTTCATTTTATAGGTCTTAAATCTACATCAATAACTTCCAAAACTCCAAAGAAGTAAGCCAGGTTACAAACGGAATTCCACAACATCTAGAAAACATAAAATCCAATCTTTTGTTCTAAGTATCCAAATATCCCCATCCAGCATCAATACAAATTTATAAACAAGGAGATAAAGAAAAATCTTGTATCAATCGAATTCGACAATGCCACCAAAACCCATTTAAAAAACAATGCCTCTAAGACCACACAAACACCATTCAAATTCTCTTACACTATACCCCCTTTTTCCAGATAAATTTCAAATATAAACGTAAAAGCAAGCAGAAAAGGATGAATTTACCTTGGTACCCTGCGTACGCGTAACAAGAGTCTTTCCAACATTCTTAACAGTGAAAACTGAAGGTGCTTTGATATCATACCAATCCTTCTTGGCAAATGGATCGGTGCTGAAGGACGAGCATACAACAGATATATAAAGTACTCCAAAACCAACACTAAGATCTGAAAAACAAGCTGAAGGACGAGCATACAACAGATATATAAAGTACTCCAAAACCAACACTAAGATCTGAAAAACAAAGGAATATAAAAATATATATATACTCACGCTTTCTTCTTGCCTCCCTTCTTTCCCTTCGAAATCCGCTTGTTCTTACTGAATGAAAAGAAAACAAGTATGAGAGATAAAAACACAATGCAGCATACAATTGAAACAATCGGAAAGAAAGAAAAAGTACCCGACGGCCATGGCTGGAGGAGGCGAGTTGCCCTAACTCCGCAGATGTATAAAGAAAGAAAAAGTACCCGACGGCCATGGCTGGAGGAGGCGAGTTGCCCTAACTCCGCAGATGTATTGCTGCACGGCAGAGAGAGTTTGAGAGCTTCCAATACCCTAAAATCTGCGTTTATATAGGTCAGGTTTTTGGTCTTTTATATAGAGTTTGAGAGCTTCCAATACCCTAAAATCTGCGTTTATATAGGTCAGGTTTTTGGTCTTTTATATTTTTTTATTTTTAATAATTGATCTTGAAGGGTTAACTCTAACCTATCTAACGAAGAGTTCACAGTAATATCACAATTTTAGTATATTTGTAAATATTATTATTTAAATAATAGTACTTTTAATTGGGTCTTCATCAATTACAAGGCGAGAGTCCATGAACTCAAGCCCATCAGGCGAGAGTCCACAAAACAAGAGTCCATCGAAACAAGAGTCCATGCACTCAAGCCCAGGAGGCCAGAGCCCACCAAACAAGAGTCCATGGACTCAAGCCCATTAACGAGAGTCCACGAAATACGAGTCCATTAACTCAAGCCCATCAGGCGAGAGTCCACAAAACAAGAGTCCATCGAAACAAGAGTCCATGCACTCAAGCCCAGGAGGCGAGAGCCCACCAAACAAGAGTCCATGGACTCAAGCCCATTAACGAGAGTCCACGAAATACGAGTCCATTAACTCTAGCCCATGGAGCTGAAAGTTTTGTCGTTGGTGTTGTTTTTCTTTTTAATATTATTGCTATTTTATTTTAAATTTTCATAAATCAATTAGAAAATGAAAATTGGCCAATATAAAGTAAGAATTCAAATTACATGCATATGTATCACATCACCAATTAAGAAAATCAGTAATACCAATCATTACTGATACTAGTATTAAAGCGGCGGCGGCGGTGGAGGTGGCAGCCGTCGAGTGCAGCCAAAGACGCCGCAATCAACAGGGTAAGAGTACAAAGCTTTACATTCCTCCGGCGAACGTTGTAATGGTCTTTCCGGCAAACAATTTTTTCGGTCATCACTCGCCTGAAGCTTCAGGCACATCGACGGCTCACTGCAGAAGAAATTATACGAGTAAGTGAAGTTCTGCAATGTCGGCAACAAGCAGACACTCGCCGGTATCTCGCCGGATAATTGGTTATGTGCGATATTTAGCTGCTCCAATTTCTTCATTCCAGCCATTGTCTCCGGCAAAGGTCCAACGAGATTGTTGTCACTGACATCGAAAACGGTGAGATTGCTCAGCGACCCAATTTCCGGCGGCAAACACCCAATCAACCCACTATTTGTGATTATAATTTCTTCGAGTGTATTGTTCATATTTGACAAACTCGAGGGGAGGCAGCCATTAATGTTGTTATTAGCAAAAACCAGCACAGAAACAGGGGAATTGCCGATGTTTTCCGGGAGGGAGAAATTGAAATCGTTGTTATTGATGAACAGAGCATCGAGTTTCTTTTCAAACAGGGAAGAAGGGAGATCGCCGTGGAATTTGTTGAATCGAATGTCGAGGAATTTGAGGGAAGGGAGAGAGAGAATTACAGAGGGGAACTCGCCGGAGAAGTCATTGTTGCTGAGATCGAGCTCAAAGAGGAGAGTGAGGAAACGGAAGGAGTTGGGGACGGTGCCGCAGAAGAGATTGGAATTGATGTGGAACAGGGCAAGGTCGGTCAGGAGGCCGAGATCGTCGGGCAGGGTTCCCGAGATGTTGACGTGGTTTAGGTCAACCCCGGCAACTGTGAGGATGTCGGGGTCGTCGGGAGCAGGGGCACAGAAGACGCCGGAGTAGTTGCAGACGTTGGAGCCGTACCAGTCGGCAGTGAAGTTGGTCGGGTCGTCGGTGATGGCGTGTTTCCAAGCTTGGAGAGCTGTGTAGGCCTTGAGGAGTCTCTGGTTGGGGAGAAATGGGGATGGCGGCGATGGCGACGGAGATGGCAGTGGAGATGCTTGAAAAGAAGGTTCGGGGAGGGGGAGGAGGATGAGAATAGAGAGGAGGAGGAGGAGGGAGTTTGAGGTTTTCATTTTGGAGGAGGTTAATGGAGCATGGTTGTTACAAAATTATAAAATTTGGGTTTTTATACGAGAAATTCGACTCCAAATTTTCTACTTAATTTAATATCGTTATTGCTATAGTTGGTATTAAATTAAGCTACCATGATACATGAATAGAGGAGTCGTATTTAATTTAAATATTTATTTATTTTATTTAGTTTTTTGTTATGTTGTTTTTAGAAGCGTTTTAAAAATATGAGGTCTATGACTATGTTTTAAGATGAAAGTGACGTTTTATGAAAGTTCATGATATATAAACAATAGCGACTTTAAATTGAGTAAAAAATTGTGGGTCGTTAAACGAGAAAATGAAGGGATACATGAATGAACCAAGACTACGTTCGAATGAAAGCAATCATAGAGATGGAATGATTAAGAAAGGGGGAAGGGTATAATTAGAGAGTGTGTGTGGGGGTAAAAGGGTTTGCATGGGAAGCAATAGGTAGAATGTTGTTGGGTCATTATTGAAATTCTCAACCAGAAAACAACTTATTACCCTGATGATTTAGACAACCCACTAATCCAACGTATTCATTTCTATTTCCACATCCCTATCCATCAACATTTTAACTTCAACCATGTGGTAGGAGATTCAAATTAATCCGAGTCGATCCAAATCTAATGAGAAGCCAACCAAGGTTTCCAGAATTTACACGAACATCGATTCAATATGCATTAATATCACTTCTACGCATTGATATAATATTGTTCCAAAAAGATTGAATTGAATTGCTCAAAAAAGATCCTAAAGTTTAAATCTTTAAAATTTTCTTTTAGGTTAATGGATGATTAACATGGTTGCTTCAGACTTAAAATATAAGCATATTGATACTCGTTGATTAAACAAAATTTGAAACTTATGGAAAAAGAAATACTCAAAATAACAACAACAAAAAAAAAATAATGATAATGAAAGAGAATCTTTTTAAAGCAACCCTACACGAATTTGGTGAATAATTGTAAATATCATATGATTTCGTTTGGAATTAAGGAGTTAAGAAAGTTAGACTTTAATCCCTGTTATTATCGGAAACAACCATTAAAGCATTTAATGAGACAGATAAAACGAGATTTCTAGAAGGATGGGTAACACTTCAAAAGCCTTACCAAAAATAATTTGACACTCCATCTTGAATTACATGTTGCGAACATTGATAATCGCTTTCATCAGAGTTCGAACTTTGAACATTTCCATTTTTGTTTAGAGATGGAAAGGTCAATTGGTTGCCTTGTTATATCAATAGTTGTTGGCCTTTGATGGTTGTTTTAATTAATTATATGATGGTCGAGTTAGGTTTTAGTAATAACATCGAAAAAAATCAATGAAAGAAATCTCGTATTAAATAAATATGTCACCCTGTTCTTCTTTGAATTGTTGTAAAAGAATTGAATTTGGTTTTAAAGACCAAATTCGATGATACATAACGGGCAAAACAGAATAATATATGTTAGTAAGGGTTTGAGCCATTACAAATAGTATAGTCAGACACCAGGTAATATGTCAACGAGGACACTAACCCCCAGAGGAGTAGAAGTAGATTGAGATGTTACATTGATCGAAGAGAAGAACAACGCATTAGTCATAGTTATAAGAATGTGAAAACTTCTTAGAGACGCATTTTAAAATATGGAAGGAAAATTCAAAAAGAAAAATTGTAAAAAGACCCTTCGTAAAACAAGAAGACCAAAGGAAAAAGCAGCAAAGTCTGGTGTAGATAATCATGTGATGAGGGAAATTTGATGGAGACGATAGTGAAAATATAAACAAGATGTGAAAGCGTGAAAATGATCTCTCTTAAATGATTTTCACCCAATTTCATTTTCGCGTATTACATTAAAAAAAAGAAAGTGGATACAGTAATTTCCATGGGTGTGGATAAGAACATAACTGATGTGGCGTTCTGATTGGTGGATATATTACCACCTTGTGTGGACTTAGTGAGAGGACCCCATCAGCCAAATAGATCTCCTTTAGCTTGGAGTAATTTTCCAGACTACACATTGTTCACAGCTGAATCTAATTCAGCAGCAGCAACAGGACTTGGCTTCCATGTTTGGAGTACGAAGTTGCAGGCCGTTACAGCCTCTCCCACTGTAAGATAGATCCATTCGTGCCCGATCGCCTCGATAAAGTTCGACTTGTTTAGCTTTTTTATCACCTCACTTTTCGGATTTGCAAGAACAAGCTGCATAATCACACAAAACCATACAAGAAATTACTATAACGAGACATTTTGGGTCAATTTCGAGTGAGTTTATGATGAACGTATTAGTCGATTTCGAGGGAGTTTATGATGAACGATAACTTGAAAATACATACTTTGAACCCCTTTCTTTCAATACTCTTCTTAATCTCTTTAAGCATGCTGATCCCACTTGAATCAATGCTACTCACGCCTGTGTTCAAAATTTCAATTCAATATAACGAGAGAGATTGTTTGTTCTGTTCCAAACGTCAGATGTTTTTATAAGTAATTACCGGAAAGGTCCAGAATTATGTACTGCAAGCTGGTTTCTCCTGATGATTTTATCCTCTCTTCTTCGTCAGTAATCCACCTTGAAAGCCTGAGAGAACAGAGAAATGTAAATCAGGATCACTGCGTCTCTCATTATGAGGGATCATTATTCAGAATATTACCTTTCTCTCAGGTAGTTTGAGTTAGCAAAATAGATTGGTGCTTCCAATTGAAGGATGAGAATTCCAGGCACATGCTCAGCTGTTGGGTATTGATCAATGCTTCTGTAAATTGTGGAGTTGGGAATGTTACCTAATACTAAAGTTCTTGGCCTTGCGATCATGAGAAGCACCCTCAACACAGAAAGTGCAACCTGAAAAACAATGTCAATTGGTAAAAATGAGAATCATATTGGTTGATTCAAATTCATTCTATTGATTTGCTCACCGCAATGATCAAGCCCATTTCAACACTGCCAAAGNCTTCAACCATGTGGTAGGAGATTCAAATTAATCCGAGTCGATCCAAATCTAATGAGAAGCCAACCAAGGTTTCCAGAATTTACACGAACATCGATTCAATATGCATTAATATCACTTCTACGCATTGATATAATATTGTTCCAAAAAGATTGAATTGAATTGCTCAAAAAAGATCCTAAAGTTTAAATCTTTAAAATTTTCTTTTAGGTTAATGGATGATTAACATGGTTGCTTCAGACTTAAAATATAAGCATATTGATACTCGTTGATTAAACAAAATTTGAAACTTATGGAAAAAGAAATACTCAAAATAACAACAACAAAAAAAAAATAATGATAATGAAAGAGAATCTTTTTAAAGCAACCCTACACGAATTTGGTGAATAATTGTAAATATCATATGATTTCGTTTGGAATTAAGGAGTTAAGAAAGTTAGACTTTAATCCCTGTTATTATCGGAAACAACCATTAAAGCATTTAATGAGACAGATAAAACGAGATTTCTAGAAGGATGGGTAACACTTCAAAAGCCTTACCAAAAATAATTTGACACTCCATCTTGAATTACATGTTGCGAACATTGATAATCGCTTTCATCAGAGTTCGAACTTTGAACATTTCCATTTTTGTTTAGAGATGGAAAGGTCAATTGGTTGCCTTGTTATATCAATAGTTGTTGGCCTTTGATGGTTGTTTTAATTAATTATATGATGGTCGAGTTAGGTTTTAGTAATAACATCGAAAAAAATCAATGAAAGAAATCTCGTATTAAATAAATATGTCACCCTGTTCTTCTTTGAATTGTTGTAAAAGAATTGAATTTGGTTTTAAAGACCAAATTCGATGATACATAACGGGCAAAACAGAATAATATATGTTAGTAAGGGTTTGAGCCATTACAAATAGTATAGTCAGACACCAGGTAATATGTCAACGAGGACACTAACCCCCAGAGGAGTAGAAGTAGATTGAGATGTTACATTGATCGAAGAGAAGAACAACGCATTAGTCATAGTTATAAGAATGTGAAAACTTCTTAGAGACGCATTTTAAAATATGGAAGGAAAATTCAAAAAGAAAAATTGTAAAAAGACCCTTCGTAAAACAAGAAGACCAAAGGAAAAAGCAGCAAAGTCTGGTGTAGATAATCATGTGATGAGGGAAATTTGATGGAGACGATAGTGAAAATATAAACAAGATGTGAAAGCGTGAAAATGATCTCTCTTAAATGATTTTCACCCAATTTCATTTTCGCGTATTACATTAAAAAAAAGAAAGTGGATACAGTAATTTCCATGGGTGTGGATAAGAACATAACTGATGTGGCGTTCTGATTGGTGGATATATTACCACCTTGTGTGGACTTAGTGAGAGGACCCCATCAGCCAAATAGATCTCCTTTAGCTTGGAGTAATTTTCCAGACTACACATTGTTCACAGCTGAATCTAATTCAGCAGCAGCAACAGGACTTGGCTTCCATGTTTGGAGTACGAAGTTGCAGGCCGTTACAGCCTCTCCCACTGTAAGATAGATCCATTCGTGCCCGATCGCCTCGATAAAGTTCGACTTGTTTAGCTTTTTTATCACCTCACTTTTCGGATTTGCAAGAACAAGCTGCATAATCACACAAAACCATACAAGAAATTACTATAACGAGACATTTTGGGTCAATTTCGAGTGAGTTTATGATGAACGTATTAGTCGATTTCGAGGGAGTTTATGATGAACGATAACTTGAAAATACATACTTTGAACCCCTTTCTTTCAATACTCTTCTTAATCTCTTTAAGCATGCTGATCCCACTTGAATCAATGCTACTCACGCCTGTGTTCAAAATTTCAATTCAATATAACGAGAGAGATTGTTTGTTCTGTTCCAAACGTCAGATGTTTTTATAAGTAATTACCGGAAAGGTCCAGAATTATGTACTGCAAGCTGGTTTCTCCTGATGATTTTATCCTCTCTTCTTCGTCAGTAATCCACCTTGAAAGCCTGAGAGAACAGAGAAATGTAAATCAGGATCACTGCGTCTCTCATTATGAGGGATCATTATTCAGAATATTACCTTTCTCTCAGGTAGTTTGAGTTAGCAAAATAGATTGGTGCTTCCAATTGAAGGATGAGAATTCCAGGCACATGCTCAGCTGTTGGGTATTGATCAATGCTTCTGTAAATTGTGGAGTTGGGAATGTTACCTAATACTAAAGTTCTTGGCCTTGCGATCATGAGAAGCACCCTCAACACAGAAAGTGCAACCTGAAAAACAATGTCAATTGGTAAAAATGAGAATCATATTGGTTGATTCAAATTCATTCTATTGATTTGCTCACCGCAATGATCAAGCCCATTTCAACACTGCCAAAGACGACACCGATGTATGCACCGAGGCAGACGACAAAGTCGAATTTGTCAAGTTTCCAAAGGTGGATGACTTCTTCATAGTTGATAAGGCCAATCATAGCAGTGATGATTATGGAAGCGAGCACCACCAGGGGCGTGTAATGAAAAAATGGCGTCAAAAACAACAGAGTGATCATCACAGCAAGCGAGCACCACCAGGGGCGTGTAATGAAAAAATGGCGTCAAAAACAACAGAGTGATCATCACAGCGATTGCCATGACAATATTGGAGACTGCAGTTTTACATCCTGCATTGAAGTTCACAGCACTCCTTGAAAATGGCCCTGCAAATTTTATCCATATTAGTAACGCTGGATCGCAACCTATCAGTTAATACATATCAAAACTAAAAACTCCACAGATTGGTAACTTCAACACGAATATCTAATAATCGAACGCCCGAACTCACGCCCCTCCATTGCTTTAATAAGGATTCTTACCGGAAGTCAGGTAGCAAGAAGTGCAGGAACCAACAATGTTCATTATCCCAAATGCTATCATCTCCTTGTTGCCATCAGTGTGATAATTCTTAAATGCAGCAAAACTTCTCCCAACTGCTACTCCTTCCTGCATTATACAATGGGTTCAAGGAAATGAAGACAATTCACTAATTTTTTTCTTTGGGGCATTTCATCAAACACTTACAATGGGTTCAAGGAAATGAAGACAATTCACTAATTTTTTTCTTTGGGGCATTTCATCAAACACTTAGTACTCATGTTTCCAAGCACACCCACCAAGTAGAATGAAACACAATTCACTAATTTCTTTCTTTGGGGCATTTCATCAAACACTTAGTACTCATGTATCCAAGCACACCCACCAAGTAGAATGAAAAACTCTTGTAAAGACAATCAATTCATTCATATTACTGATCCAAGCACACCCACCAAGTAGAATGAAAAACTCTTGTAAAGACAATCAATTCATTCATATTACTGCTCAAATCTGTCCCTTCAACACCATATTACCAAGTAAAGGATTGAACTCAAAAACTTACAGCAAGGCCAATGATTCCGACGATGATCCCTGTTTTGATGGCAATTAAGAGATGAGGAGATCCAAATGCCAAGGCCAATGATTCCGACGATGATCCCTGTTTTGATGGCAATTAAGAGATGAGGAGATCCAAATGCTAAATCAGTCGCAGATAGTGGATTCAACCCTTTCTTCAAATGCCCAATCTACATAAGAACAAAAACATAGAAACCCAATAAAGATCAACCCAATTAAAGATTTCACAAAGCAAAAGAAACAGCGACGGAAATGGCGATTCGGTAAGTTACCACTTGAACTCCATGCTTTTCAGCGTGGGTGAAGTAGACGAGAAGGCTTCCCAAGATGACCGACGTCAAAGGCGCCAATGCATTTATCCAAAAGAAGATCGGTTTCTTCTTGCTCTGCAATTCGTTGACACGTCAAAGGCGCCAATGCATTTATCCAAAAGAAGATCGGTTTCTTCTTGCTCTGCAATTCGTTGACCAAATTAACTCAAATTAGCAACCACTAATTATTTCACTTAAATATATTAATTATAAAAAAAAATCAATTTTAAATTAGTATTGTTAGTGAATTAGTTAACATTTATGATTCACTTTTGTATAATTATTTTCATTATTTAAATTAGTATTGTTAGTGAATTAGTTAACATTTATGATTCACTTTTGTATAATTATTTTCATTAATTCTTGATGCAAACTATATTGTAACAAGACTATTAACATGTTCAAATTTAAAATTAAAAAATAGGGAAATTTAGTCTTGGAAAAATGGATAATTAATACAAAACAAACCCAAAATCAAGAAATTATTAGACATATTTTTGTATTAAAAAGTTTGGTTTTGTATTTTTTTTTTTTTTTTTTTTTTTTTTTTTTTTTTTTTTTTTTTTTTTTTTTTTTTTTTTT